TGCGTCGCGTTAGAATGCCCGTCTCGATCTCCGCAATCGGAGGCGTCGACGCCGGAACATGTCGATACACGGCCGAAATTCAGATCTCGCCGATCGGCCAAACTTCTCTCGCGTTCAAGACCACTGCGTCCGTCATGACAAGTTTAACGAAATACACTCCGTCGCCCGTAACGTCGCCCGTCCAATGGAGCCATGTAGCCGATCTCGCGCTCGCGGATCCGGATCCTACGAACTCGGACCCCATTGACATACTCATCGGTGCCGACCTGTACGGCGATTTGCTGCTCGACGGCATTCGAAAGGGCTCCCGCGATCAACCCCTCGCGCAGAATACCGTTCTCGGTTGGGTGCTGTCCGGCCCCGCGGCTGACCCACAAGCTCGTCCTCGAACAGTCACGGCTCAGCACTGTTCTAATACCCCGTCTCTCGACGAGGAACTCCGACGCTTCTGGGAAATTGAAGAAATCCCTCGCGCCATTCCACTGAGTCCGGAGGAGCAACAATGCGAAGATCACTTCCTCGCCACTCATTGGCGACGCTCCGACGGACGATACGTGATTCGCTTTCCGTTCAAAACCGGTCCCCCAATCGAGATCGGTAATTCTTATCACTCAGCCGAGCGACAGTTGAGAGGTCTTGAACGCAGATTAAACGCCGATGAGAGAATAGCGACGGAATACCGCGCCTTTATGGAGGAGTACGAGCGACTCGGGCATATGAAGCGTGTACCGCATGACGCAGACACGTTGTCTCAACACGTTTACATTCCGCATCACCCCGTGATTCGCGAAAGTAGCACCACCACTCGGTTACGGGTCGTTTTTAATGCGTCGAATCCGACGAGCAACGGCACGTCGCTGAATGACCACTTGCTAACCGGGCAAAAGTTGCAGACCGAATTAGCTGCAATTCTACTAAGATGGATGCTACCTCAATACGTGTACTCCGCCGACATTACAAAAATGTATCGTCAAATCGAAATTGATCTTCGTGACGTCAACTATCAGCAAATCCTATGGTTCGATCGCGAATCTCGAACCATCATCGCGTTCATTCTGTTAGTCCTAACGTACGGAACGGTTAACGCTCCTCATGATGCGCTTCGCGTTCTGGAACAACTAGTTCGGGACGAGGGAAGCTCATTTCCGTTGGCGGTTCCGGTGATTCGAAAGGGCCGATATATAGACGACTTTCTTTTCGGAACGGACGATGTACTGCTACTTCGTCAGACGCGCGATCAAGTATGCGCGTTACTGAGTCGGGGGCGGTTCGAATTACGTAAGTGGGCGAGCAACTCTCCACAACTTCTGGCCGACATTGACGTCGAAAATCACGGATTAGCGTGTTC